GCTGACGACGACTCCTAGAGGGGAAGTGAACTGCAGCTGGCCTCGATCACATGAGGCATGTGTTCTAAGCCCGATTTCTTTCATTCGGTGCTCGAACACCTAGGGCGGCAGATGAGCTTCCCCACATCATACTGGTCAAACTGTCAGGGGGCCCGGGAATCTGGGCTTGCAGAGTGGTCCGTGTTTTAATGGCCATTTCTCACCTGATGTAGACCGGACATGTAATGCACCCCCCACCGCCACGATTACATCTGGTACACTATAGTTGTTCCCAAGGCACTGCAAACAGAATTCGGTAGAAGCTCCACATAATTAATGCTTAACACCAGCTGGCCAGGCAATTCCTTTTTGTTGTCTTGTCTTACTATGTAGCCTGACCACCTCCATGTTGACTTTACTTCTGTATGCACATATCTTCCCAATAATGCTCTCAACCCTAAATTCATCCCTAATCTCTAAATGCCTAAACCCAGACTCCTAAATCACGACAGAACTCAGCTCTAACCCCTATATCGTATACTCCTAAACCCCTAATGTGTTAAGTGCAGAGTATAGCGGTGAGAAAACGAGATTGGGCACCAAGCTTGCAAAGCACACCCACTCTGTGGAGACATAGCCTGAAGCCTCAAATCTCCAAAAACCTCATCAACCCTAGATGCCCGAAGCCCCTGGATACATGTGATTGTCAGGGGGTTCTTATCCCTGGCGCTCATACTTCGGGCTGCAGGATTGCAGGCTGAGGAATTGAAAGTTTGTGAATTATTGTTCATAGGCCTAAGGTTGTGGATCGGGAGTAGTTGTGGTTTGTTACCAGTAAACCTGAAGACCTCTGCATCGGCACATGTTTTTGAACTTATGGAATCCCAGACGGACTAGTTGCAGTACGAGGCATTTAGAGCACAGGTGTGTTCGACATTCTAGTCCCTAGGGAACGGTCAGTAGATATAATCCAAACAATATGGCTACAATCCTGAATTCAATCTTATGTCCACCACCTACAGGTCTCCAGGTTCGTAATTTGGGCTGCGACTTACAGGCATCGGTAACACTCTGAAATTATTAGCTGGCCATTGCCTGCATGGCGCTTTTGCCTGCACAGCTCTCGTCGAGGCACACGTGCCGGGCTTGCACTAAATTTGCCGGGATTGCATAAATTTGGCCATCATGAGGGAATACCCTCAATCGAAAGGTCTGAGCTTGCAACCGCTTTCTGACAACACTGCATTCGGTGTTTTGGGAACCTTTCCAGATGACAGCTGAAGGTTGCAAACACCAGGAAATCAGAGGCAAGCTAGCAGCTAGCGTAGCAGAGCTGGAAATAAACACGAGCCAATGTCATATCCTCCACGGACCGCTTGTGACAAGACTCTGCAATTCCTTGGGTAGATGTCATGATTGCCCCAATGGTCAGGCAACTTGAACACACAGTTGCCGAGATCAACAGCTAAGACCAGTGCTAACCATTGATCCAACCATATCCTCCTGCTTGAAGCAGTGATAGCTTCTTGGATTGATGCCTTGCAAGGCGGGATCAGGTCAAGCATCGAGATACCCCTTATTGTGCAGACTGGCTGCGATGCTTCACAGCCCAATAGGCCAATTCCTGCCACCCCTCGGGAACAGGTTTAAGCTGGGCTCTTTACTGACAAAGCATAAGATGCATGCAAGATAGCCTGCAAAATACTACATGGAGTCTGAGGGTACGGCATGAAATTTTGGTTTGACAGGAAACAGCAAGACTTTCTGGTCCAGAGCGTGCTTCGCCAGCCGCAGGTATGCATCCAAGGAACAATCCTCAACAACATTCCCACTCAAGCTTTTTCAAATTCACATAAACGGATCTGGAGGCCACTCCAAGGCCAAGCAACACAGGCCCGCTGAAGCCGGTTTGCCTCATCCACCGACAGGTAGCGAGATGCCCTTTCGGAGATGTCGAACCAGCTCCCGAGGTGCCACCTCCGATGGCAGTGGGGTGTTTGCTTATCTCTCAAATCTGTAATTACTTTATTATTAATGTGGACACAGCTATTAGTCGCTGTAGTGTTGTAGGTAAGTACAACCATCCGTTCTTAGACATTTCATAGGGTTATAGATTGGGCCTGCAATGTCCACCAGCAACATCGAATTCGACGATTTCGGATTAAATGGGATGGGGTGGAGGCTTTTGGTCTACACGTTGAGGCCTAGCGTTACTTGGCTCAGGGCTTTCGTGTCGTGGTTTAGGGGTGTTAATTAAGAACTCTTATAATATTAGCTGTACAGCCACAAGTCCAAGAGGTTTAAGTACTAGGATTATTATACTTAGGGAGATAGTATAGGTTTAAGGTTCGCGTAGATGCAGTTCGAGTTTAACTATTTTAAGCCGATGCACAGTGCAGCCGCCAAGAGCTCCTGCTCTCCGGTTTGCACAGATTCCACAGCTTTGCTGGCTGCCCATGCAACCACCACTCGCCCCTTCAGGGACGGAACACTAGAGTGTAGTATTGTCCTATGACCTATACATCAACACACAAAGCAGCTGAGTCACGTTGTAGGCTTTGCACTGCAGCACAGGGTAGCCCTGGTTGGGGGATATCTTGAAGTTCGGCTGGCTATGCCTGATGGAATTTGGCTGCAACACACTTTAAATTTACCACTTGCTCCTACACAGATTCCTGTTGATGTCCAGTTGCGGGATTTTGTTTGCTTTGGCCCAGGCATCAAATTCATCAAAGGCAATCTTGTATTGCTCCTCGACGGAGCCGTTGCCCCAAATCTTCGCTTGCACCATCAGCCGGAAAGCCGAGCCCAAAAGGAATTGCACCAGCCCCAGGTTCAAGGTATGCATTGCACACCACCGGACATACTCAGGAGAGAAGTTATTCAAAGCCAGCAAAGGGCCTTTCCCAGGGCAATGGGGTGTCTGGGAAAAATAAGGGTACCTACTTAGACCTAGGGTGAGGGCTAAGGGTATCCTAAGCACTATATTTACAACACAACCCTACAGCCCTTTAGCATTCCATCCGGTCACTCTCCGACTTGCGGCAGGCTTGATCTTCGAAGTTCCTGCGGTCTCGCCGGGCAGAGAGGTTGCCCGGCACACAGGCGTAGTCACTCTTGCGAGCTTCGCAGTGATGACATATGCTGTTGGAGTTCCACCCCACTTTCAAAGCGAGCCACTCCTGATTGGGTCGCTAGCTGATATGAAAGAATCATTAATGGGCTTATCTCTCTAAGTCTCTGGAGTCTTGCAGATCCTTCAGTCAGGGTAGGTAAAAGGCACTTCGGGCTCTGGTTCATGAAGTAGGATATTTTAAGGGGAGGGGTATGCGGCTCGATTTCGGGTTTAGGGACTTGGAGCTTTGGGTAGAGACCTTGAGACCGGGCTCATTTTAGGTTGTAGTCGAACATGATGTACAGGCTCTATTATACATGGAAAGGCTTCGTGAGGAGCTTTCTTATCTTCAGGCTGTTATAGAGACTACCTGTTGTAGCTGCTGGGCTCTAGTTCCGTTGCCAGAACCGTGTATCACTGCAGATGGCATTCTAGTAGTACTTGTTACAGTCCGGGATAATGTGTTTTTATTTTAACCAGCACTAATTATCTAAGGCTACCACATTCCGTCCAAGGTCAGGGGGGGTGCAAAGGGGGAGGGGGGTGACACAATGTGTCACCCTCCTCTCCCTTTGCACCCTCCTCAACTTCGGGGTCACCATGGAGCAGCGGTGAAGGCTGGCATCCTTGGGAATGGGTGGGGTCAACACATTCGGGTAGTAAGTGAGCTATTAGAAACCTAAGCCGTACAATATTAACCTAGAACCTCTAAGCCTTAAAACCCCAGACCCCAAGCCCTAAAGCCCTGAGCCCCGAGCCTTAGACCCCAAGACTGAAAGCCCTGAACCCCAAACCCTAGACCCCACTCTTCGGCCTTATGCCACTTCCAATCACCTTGGTACTGCACCAAGGCCGCATAAACCCGCTTGCTCTTCCCACACGGAGTTCGTACGATCACACCCTGCTCGAAGAGGATGTTGAATGACTTGACAACCTCTAGGAGACTCATACAGAACTATATCTCAGATAGGCTTCAAAGCATCTCCCAAAATAAATACGATACTGTTATGTATTGCAACCGAAACCATTACAACTAGCATGCCCCTAGCACCTCCTCCATGAAGGTGTTCAGGGTCCCAGGGCCCGCGCTCTGGCCCTGAGGGCTGTAACTGATAAGGCTTATAAGGCCTGTGGGGCTTTGGGGTTCAGGGTTTGGGTTTGGGGTTTGTGGTCGAGGGTTTAGGCAATTAGGGTTTATAGGGCTTAAGAGTTGAGGGTTCAGGGTTTGGGTTTGGGGTTTGTGGTCGAGGTTTTAGGCAATTAGGGTTTATATAGGGCTTAAGAGTTCAGGGTTCAGGGTTTGGGTTTGGGGTTTGTGGTCGAGGGTTTAGGCAATTAGGGTTTATATAGGGCTTAAGAGTTGAGGGTTCAGGGGTTGGGTTTGGGGTTGAAGTTTAAGGTTGATGGATTATAAGGGATTATGTCCTGCCCGGCCTGTATATACGTAAACAGTGGCCAGACAGACTTCAGTGCATTCTTCTCAGTCTCTAAGACTCTTCCAAATGCCACCACCACCAGCTTATCTTGGTGAGTCTCAGTAAACTCGGCATCATCTCCCCAGATATAAAGTGGTATATGTAAGTCCGTTGCCCCCATACTTGGCATCCCTGCGGCTCTAGCATGTGACCAGAACTCCTCGTTCCCGGCAGCCGCTGCATCATCCACAGGGATAAAGCCCTTTTGCACCAGCCAAGGAAACAGTTCATGAGGTAGAACAACTGGAAGTTTCCTTAGCTACAGAACTTCTTAAAATTCAAACATAGGCCGCCCCCCCAAGCATGATACCTAAAGCTCCACAGTTGCAAGCTAGTAGGCAAGTAACCTCTTCTTGAGCACACCCTTTTCGATCACCGGGACATCCAGCTTTGTAACCGGGACCTTGGATGCTTTGAACATCGATCTATAGCTTGGACACATGGAACAAACCACGTGTGCATACATAAACATATGTGTGTCTCTCTGTGCATATAAGACACCCTGGCGGCTTTGCACCGTCGTAGCATGTCACGTTGGAAATTGCTAGGCCATTTCCCCGAAGTCGAGATTAACTCACCTGCAGCCCCAGATAGTGTCATGCCGTGGCCTTCGAACTCTTGGTTCACTGCCACAAGCAGTTCCCGGGCTCCTGCAAACGAAGTCTCCTCGGATTGGGTGCAAGCCGAACAAACAAGCAGGACCCCGACTTCGTGGATCTTTCAGACAGAGACAAGGCGACTGTTGCAGTTGTGGCTGAAAGGCTTGAATTAAGGTATAAGCACTGCAATTGCAAGATTGGCTTCGGGATTTGTTATTATATCTAGCTACAGGACTCCTTGGATCATCTTGCAAGCTTCAACAGTAATAGATCATTTAACTGGTATGTGTGAATGCACCATCAAGACCCATGTCTGGGGTTGTATAGTGCAAGCCAGTAGCCCCTTTTCCGATGGTTCTCATGACATAGGCGTGGAGCGGTGTGCTCGCAGACCGACCTGCGGAGGGGTTTAGGGTTTAGGCGGGGTTGGTAATTATGCAGTGAACAGTTACAATTGACCGCCCATACAGTGACCAAGCCACTTCTTTTTTTGACATCGCACTTGCTTCATGCGGTTGGGAGTCTGTTGCGTCAAGCTTAAATCGCCAGTAAGGCTCATCACAGCAGCACAGCAGGGCAATGTGGCCTTATTTCTTTTGTATATCTGTCTAGGAAAGCCGCAGCCCTAAAGCCTAAAACCTCGTGACCCTGAGGCCTCGAAGCCTAGAAGCCCTATAGTCAGACTGGTACCCCATAGCTGCTTCAATGGCCATGGCAAAAGACTGAAGTGTCCAAAACTCCTACAGACGGGCTACCTCTATAAAGTCTGATAGCCCATCGATCGCTGGAGACACCCTTGCACAGGTGGTGCTGTGGCTCAAGATCATGATCAGCGAGGCTTGGCCGCTCGCTTGGGCTTGGTCTTCTCCTTCGGCTGGGCCTGAGTCAAATAGGCAACTAAGTCATCCTACATGCACACCTACATACACATGAATTCTACACACACACACACATATATATATATGTGTGTGTGTGTATATGTATATGTGTGTATACATACATAATATGTGCTGTAAACACACACACATACACACACATATATATATATATATAACCGTTAGCTACTTCACAATAGATCTAGACATATGTATATACATGTGGTTATGGAAGCCTAGGCACCGTTGCTGTTTTCACAGCCTTGATCTTGCCATTCAGGGCCACAAATGCATTATCCACGTCTCTCATGACATCCTCGTAGACCCTTTTCTCGTCACCCACCTCAGATATTCACTAGATGCCTCCATGATCAGACAACGAGTTTGTAATGGGTACACTCCGCAAATATACAAAACCAGGGCACAATGTCCTCATCCTCGAGCTTGCGGGCATACCAAGCCTCGAGTTGCGTCCGAGCAGTCTCGATGCTCTTCCTGCCCTCGTCGAGCTCATGCACATAGCCCTCTTTCATCTTCTCAGACCTGGGATTCTTACAGCTGGGCTCGTTCATTGCGGTTTTGGAGCTTGAAGCTAGGTCTGTAGGGCGAGGGAGGGTACAAGGGTTCAGTGCTGTATATCATAGCAGGGACAGGCCTCACTGGCTGACATACCTTAATAGTGTTACACCGATTCAGGGTTTAGGGTTTAGGGTTAGGGTTTGGGGTTTAGGGGTTAGGGGTTAGGGGTTAGGGTATACATACATATATTATGGGTGATGGGGAGATTACAGGAACCCCGTGTATAATCTGATTTATGGTTTCATTCAGAAGCTTAAGCTGAGGGACAGATGCGAAGCTGAGGGCACATCGTTGGCCAGCACCCGAACTTCAGCCAACTTCGTCGAAATCTGACCAAGCTTAGTGTTAGCAGCCTTCCTCAAGGAAGGCCCCTTGCCCTTAGCCCGTCCCTTTCCCGGCAGGTGCTCGAAACCACCTTGGCCCCCTGAACCCCCGGGGCCCCCTGGCGTATGCGGGGTAGCAGGTGGCTGCGGCGGCGCCTTTCCGAAAGGGCGAGGGCCGACCTGGTAGCCGGAATTGGCCGGAGCACCCGGCTGATGGAAGTTGCCCCTGAGCTGTAGCTAGGTGAAGAACACACACACACACATAACAGCATTTATTATACACAGCCCAAGGCCCGAAGCCTAGTCATCCAGAGTAGCCGTGTAATCGAAATGTGATTATAACGAGCCTAATGGTAATCATAATAGCGGCGGTTGCAAAGATCATGGCTACAAAGCTGCTCCTAAGTCGACCCCCAGTTGTGGATTAAAGAAAACTAGTGAACTGGCAACTGAAAACGGTCGTGGCACACAAAAGCTCTTGTGGAGTCGGGATCCAAAGTGCCCTCTGCCTGGAACCGATGCTCCTGTGTGCTGGTCTCGTCATCTTCAAACTCCATGGAATCGTACACCTTGAAGCATTCCCACTCCTGCTTGATAAGGTTCTGATACATATGAATTGAAATAGCGATAGGATGACCCATATTATCATCAGGTCAGCCAGTTGCTACCCTCCCATGTAAAGATACGATTACCTGTACATGTTAGACTATGTTTGCACACATGTGAGTGTATACGTGTGTGTGTGTATATATATATATGTATATATATATATGCAGACATGCATACATATACACATGGCACAAAAACTAAAACATTGTGCCCACATCTATCTCCCCAATACCTACCTTGTACTATACTGACTGTTCAGGGCCTTATGTTTATGTTGTTGGGCTCGATGTCCTCGGAATCTCCCATTTCGGGGTGGGGCCACCACCATTCTGCCCCAAGTTCTTTCTTCCGTTCGCGAATGGCTTTGGCACTGGCGGTTCCATAGAGGAGTTTGAGGTCCTTGTAGGTTTTCATCACATATTTTCCGCGGCGTCGTTGGGTCTTCGCGATAGAAGCATTGAACACAATCGTCGAGTTGGCCCAGTTCTCATCCGCTTGCACCCACTCTTCGAAAAGCCGTGCAATGATCGCACGATCTCAGCTAGCTGCATTTTACGGCATATCACCGAAACTTTATAAAAGCCAGGAAACAGCACAGAACCAGACACCCATTCTTGTCAAACCAGGTGACTGTACTTCTTGCCTTTGGCTGCATCCAGCACAGGCTGCGGGCACATCGGACCTTGCATAGTCTTCGGTCTGAGAATAGGAATCTTGGGAGGAGTTGTGCTGATTTCATGTTCAGGCTTGTGTGGGTGGGACATATAGGTATTCGATAAGTGGCTGTCGGGTGTATTGAAACTACCGGCAATTCAGTTTAACCATAAACAGCAGTACTTGCAGTTGTAAGAAGTTCCAGGTTGTAATTCCAGCATATCAGCTATGTTTCAGGTGGCACTTTCAAGGTTAAGCAGTGAGCCACTAATCTTTCTTCACCCAGTACGTATGATATATGCTGTTTGAACTTGAGTCACTGTCGAAGCTCCGGTTGAACCGCATCCGCTGATTGTGGCATAGCCTTCGATCTCGATCGTCTGGCGTCTCGTAGGAGCCGTCGCCGCGTTCGAGAAGCAAGCCGTGCTGATGCATTTCTCGCAGTTTGTCTGCCTCCGTGATGACAGCGAGATGATGCGAGGACTACTGGAAACTAGGCTGTCTATGCTTGGCATCACAACAATACAACACAGCAGCCGTGATGACGACTTCATATTGGAAGAGCTCCGACGGTGAAACCTGCATTGTTTGTACTATGGCTAGCTACTAGTACGAGTACTACTACTGCTTTAGTAGTACTACTAGCTAGTAGTGGTACTAGAACTAGTACTGCTTTTTTGCATGCTACTCTTTTCAGTCGTACATATACCACTACTGCTATTGTCCTGCTGCTGTTGCATTTGCTATATCAACAACAACTTCGACTACAACTGCAAATGCTATACTGTTGCACTGCTGCACTATACATGCACATCAACTCAGGAAACATATGCATATATATATATATACATACATATACCACTGTACTCACTGTACTCAGCATGCAGACAAACCTGTAAGATATATGGTAAGTAGCAGCAGCACCACACTGCTTGTATGTTGAGTGTGTGTGTGTGTCTATACACATATATATATATAATGTAAAGAATAGTTAGATATGTGTGTTTTGTCAGTAGTTCTCACTTGAAGGAGGTGTTAACAGGAAAGTTAACACACAGTGTTAACTTACAAGCATTTATATATATATATATATATATGTATATATATATATACTAATATACATGTGCTCACAAGCACAGCTTTAAAGTAAGAAGTGTATGTATGTATGTATGTATGTATGTATGTATGTATGTGCACATGTGTGAACGATCCTAGTGTTTTCTGTATACCATGTATGTGTCTTTGATCTGTGCTAAGGAATCACGATTTATATAGATCCCTGAGAGCCTCCATCACTGTGCTGTCCAGGCGTTGAAGCCCGGTGCGGGAGAGTTCCAGCTGGAGCTGAACATAGCGATCAGGCGGAGGTGGGGGCAGCATGCCACGTTCATGTGGCGGTTTAGTCCCCGGAGCCTCCTGCAGGGTTTGGGGATTAGAATTTATGGCTTTGGGTTGGTACTTAGGGCCGGGTGTTAGGGCCTGGGGCTTCAGGGTTTTATAGTGCACGTGTTGAACACATTATTAAAGTATAATATGTACATGCCATACAGACATATGTGTGATGTACTGGCCTCTGGTTCACTGGTACTTCAAAAGCCCCAGAATGACACATAATACATCAACAATCCTCTGCCGACAAATTAACCCTGTCCTGGGGGGCACGAGCCTTGGGGGCAGGAGGTTGTGGGTCCACATCCATCGCGGCTTCACCGGTGCCACCCCCTTCCGAGGGCCTATCACACTCCAGCTGCAAAGCTGACATATGCTGCTCAACCTGCTGCATCATCTGCCGCAACAGCTCGTCCTCACTCTTGGGGCGTTCCTCCTGATAGGCCTCATAGGCAGCATTCATCAGCTTCATGGCCACCATTTCCAGGCGGCCGACTGCCAGCTGGGATTGGTTCCTGGCCGCCTCAATCTCCTTCATGCCCTCCTCGCGTATGGACATCTTCCATGCTGCCATCTTCTCTGTCACCGTGGAGCTGCCGGCCAGAGTGCCGGTAGTGCCGGCATGCTGGATGACAGTGGCCAAAGCCTTTGCCACAGCCTGGTCCGCGTGAGCCATTTTGCTAGCCAGCTGAGCCTGGAGATCTGTCGCCTTCTTAGACAGACCCTTGAGGGCTGCAAAGGTGTCCAGGCACTCAGCTGCCAACTGACTCAGCACATCTGGTGCTTGCAAAGGAGGCAACTCAGTCCCAATCTCAAGCACCCAGTCCATGATGACGTCACCAAGCACTCGCTGCCCTTGCTCATCATCCTTGGAAGCCCCGTCCCCAAAGGCTCGGAAAAGCCTGCTGCGAAGCTCCAAAACCAGATGATCCGGTGTGCCCTGCTCCTTCACCGGAGTTTCGGGAAGGTCCTGGATGTTCTCCAAGCTGCGGCCCCATGACAAGGTTGTCATACTGTCCAGGCTTCGGAGTTCGCTTTGCCCCTCACTCTGCTCCACAGCAGCTGGCCCTTTTCCCGTCTCACTCGGTTCTGCGGTCTGCTCCACAGCAGCTGGCCCTTTTCCCTTCTCACCAGGTTCTGCGGTCTGCTCCACAGCTGGCCCTTTTCCCTCCTCACCAGGATCTGTGGTCTGCTCCACAGCTGGCCCTTTTCCCTCCTCACTAGGTTCTGCGGTCTGCTTCATAGCTGGTCCATTCCCCTTCCCACTAGGTTCTGCTGCACCCTGCACCACACATCCAGCAGAAGGCTCGCCAGCAGGCGGCACCGGGTCCAACAGAGTATCTGCCTTGGCAAAGGCAGACATGGAGCTTAAACCAACAAAAGCATCGTGAACAAAATGGTATTCCGGTGTGTGTGTGTACACCTGTGTGTGTGTGTGTGTGCGTGTGTGCGTGTATGTATATGTTATTGTTCCACACATGGTACCTTTAAGCACTGCTACCCACCCAATCCCCACCCATGATCAGTTCACAACTATTTGCTTGCCTGGGTGCTGTGTCTAGCAGCGGCATGAGGTTTCGAGGACTTGGCACATTCGGCTTCTCGGGGCTGGGCAACTTGGACGGGGCAACCGGGGGAATTGGTGTCGTTGCCTTGATCGGGGTCTTCTGGGCTTCATCAGGAAGCCCCTGCAAAGCCATCTCACGGGCAGAGCTGCTTCTGGATACAGGCTCACCAGCACCTAGTGGCCGGCTCCGCTTCAGGTCAGGGACTGGGGTCACACCGCTCGGAACCCTCAGGCGCTTGTTGATATCCAAGAGCTCCTGCTCCATGTCGAAGCTGTCCTCCTCAGCCGTCTGCGGTTGTACCCTTTATGTATGTATATGTTTATATATATATATATGTATGTTATATATATATGTGTGTGCTACAGGCAGGTATAGCTGTGCACATGTATAACCCGTGTACACACGTACTATACACATGCATATCCGGTCTATATAGCTAAAGATTGTTCTACTGCAGTGCCCTGATACAATGCAGCATGATGCATGTGTTGTATGGAGTGGAAGAGCATGGAGCATTTAGTATGATAGGGTATGCCATGGTATGCAGGCATGTTATCTAGTCTAATACATCATATACAACAGTATATTATGTTGAGCTACATGCATGATTAAACTAATATGGGCAATTTTCGAATATTAGCACACATGTACAATCCAAACATGTATGCATGCACAAGTGTTTGAAGAATCCAAGCCCCGGAGAACACCCACATGTAACCTTCAGGTTAAGTCTTCAAGGTGATGAGGTAAATGCTGACCAGGGAGCTGCCCCTGCTGAGGCAGTCGAAGTTGTCATGGCCCGGCACAGCACTGGAGTCACAACTCGAGTTGGATCCGGCCCCTCCTGAAGTACTAGTACCACTCCCTTAATGTAAACCCAGCCCAAAACCTGTCTGCAGACACTGAGGGGCCAAAAGAGCCGTCTGAAAGGGCCCCAGGGCGGACTAACGAAAATCACGCCAAAGTAACGCCCAGCACGGTCCCCGCGCGGACACAGCACGGGAAATCACGCAAAGTAACGCGAAAGTAACGGTGCCTTTTTTCGCCTTTCCCAGGAAAACGAGCCCGGTGACTGCTTCATGGCCGAAAGAGGCCAGAAACTGCTGTTGTGCCGCCCAGCCACTTACAGGGCTTCCTAGAAATCCCCCAAAATGCAGCGAACCGACTAGATTATCATAGGAAATGCAGTATTTGTGGCTTGGATAGTGTAGTTTCTCCTAGGAAATGCAGTATTTGTGGGTTGGATAGTGTAGTTTCTCTTAGGAAATGCACTATGTGTGGGCTGGATAATGTAGTTTGTCCTAGGAAATGCAGTATTTCTGGGTCCGATATTGTAGGTTCTCTTAGGAAATGCAGTATTTCTGGGCCGGATAATGTGGTTTCTCCTAGGAAATGCAGTATTTGTGGGTCGGACAATGTAGTTTCTCCTAGGAAATGCAATAGTTCTGGGTCGGATAATGTAGTTTCTCCTAGGAAATGCAGTATTTGCGGGTTGGTTAAACAGCAGGAGTGGTTCGTTTGCTAGGATATACAGTGGGAGTGCTGTTTGGGCTAGAATATACATGAAACCTAGGGAGTCTCGTAGATAAGAAGCTGCAGCGGATTGTGGTTTCTGATAGGAAATACAAGCATTCCTGCATGAGAGACCCAAAACATGAACTGCACCCAGAGTGTAGCTTCTCCTAGAACATACAATCCTCCTAGCACCTCATCTCCTGCAGCCGGCTGCGACAAAAGTATGGTGTCTGTATTGTATTCACAAGCTTTCTCGAAGAAAGCACAACAATACCTGCAGGTGGACACAAGAGGAGTAGGGTTTCTTCGAGATTCAGGGCTTCACTCTAGCTTCTTACAGTGTTCAGGGTTTCCTGATGTTCCAGCAGTTAAGAAGCCGGGGGGGGGGGATCCTGCTTTGGAGCAGAGGTTTAGAAGGCCTTGGTGTGGAGTGCAAGATATCCAGCTAGAGTGGGACTTTGGTTTGAGACATTAGGCACCTCAGAATTGTGCACAGATCCACCCGACAATTCTAACCAACACCCCTATTAGACCATGTTTTCAAGATCACTGTAACTGGTGTTTGTCAGGTGTTTGCAAGTTGATCGAGTGCGATAATCCAGAAGCCACCCTTCCAAGCTAATTTAAACACATTAATACGTAGATTGGCATCGATACATAGCTATATAGTATATAGCTAGGGTAACCATATATGTTATCAGAGCAGCTTCCTAGTGTCAACACAAACAGACATCGATTAGCTATTCACGGTCAGCTTGGCCTGAGAGCTTCTTTGGGCTTTGTTATTTTATGACCCAGCCATGAATGCTTGATGCTGGGAAAAAACGATTCCCCTAATCTGTCTAATTCTTGGCTAGCATGTGAAGAGCCCCTAACAGAAAATACAATCATATTGAATACATTGTGAATTAATTTGTATCCAGGTGGAATCAATGATGCTAGCTATGCCTCAAAGGAAGTAGTCACTACACTTTCGGCGCTTGGGGCTCAGGGCTTTCGGGACAAGGCTTATAAACTTAGGTTGGAAAAGGCTCTTGAGATCTTTTTAGGGTGGGATGTATAGGTTTAGTTGCACAGTACACTCACAACAATTGCGAGATTGTGACATACCTAGATATCGTGGGTTATGATATCCTCAGGCCAGTACCATGGAAGCTCCTTCCTATGCCTAGAAGCGAACCTAGAAGTTGTGGTACATCCACGTATAAGCACACAGCTGTAAGGCTTACAGCATGCTTACAATTGGCTACAGCTCTACATGGCAGCAATCTGTAGTTCAGAAAAGCACGGGTCTAGCTTGTTCAGAGGGTGTGGCCAACCTTAGCCTAATCAGGAACCTATACTTGTAAGTACTCCCTCTTGAATGCCTTCTAGGACACATGCTTCACAGGAGATCATACATATGTACAGAGAGCTTGGAGATGTGTTCCGACTTCTATCTAAGAACTTGTGCCTAGGTACTCGCTCTATATATCTATGTATATATGCGTTTTGGTTTCCACACATGTGCTATATGTGCTGACAAACCAAACTGTCACATCGACACATACGAACCTATGAGACCCCCCCTCCACCCTGAAGCACAACAAACCTAGAAGTTCCCAAGCAGCCAGCAGGTGCGATCACAGGTCTGGTGGCCAAGATCCGAAGCATCTGCTGTCCGGGTGTTTCTGGGGCCTAGTATTAGCCGGCATCAGCAGGTTCCTTGATCCTTGCCAGCTCCATGATATACACAGGTAGCCGTACCTTCACGTGATGAGGCTTCTATCCTGGGCCCAGAGTTGCACTGTAGATCCGACCATCTAACCATTCATAGAGTCTCTCTCTAGGTTAAGGTTCTCCTATTGATCGACTGAGCATACATATCGGCTGCTTCTCACAAAGCGGCTACACTCTACTTGGCAGCTATACAGATCGTAGTTAATAGAATGTTCGAGAACAGTACGGTTCCCCATGGACAATCGCCTGCCGACTCTGCACGGGATACTGAATAAGAAGCCTTGATCCATGATCCGAACCTCGACTCTCTACTCCCATTACCTAGAGCACGAAAAAGAGGACTTAAAGCCATGCAATACAATTCCCTGAGCCTGCTTACATGTTAAAGCCTACCGTGCCCAACCCTAGTTCCTCGAGCTTTACCCCAGAACCCTATCTACCACAAACCCGTGCAGACACTAGCACTGCAATCATCCAAGCAAAGGCCGAATTATTAAGTGCACTTGGCAGCAAATAAGCCTCAGCCAATCACATCGCAAGCGGAGTCACTTATGCTTCACATTCCCCACTGGGGCTAGCACACCTTTGGTATAGGTTATGTCGAGCTGAGGCCTAGGGCTACTTACCACCTTGTTTGTGCATGGGTCGAGGTCAGAGGCCACTGGGTTTTACCTCATGATCATAGAAGGTAAGGTGATCAGTTTTGTTTTAAACACGTGGTCAACAGGCCCTGAGCTCGATCTGCAGCTAATTCTAGTGCAATCACAGAAGCTTTCCTAATCGGCGTTGATGATTTTAAGCTTCAATCTCCGCTAGGTTCTGCTGGTAGCACTGGCAGCTCCGAAGCAGAGGCCATGTCATCTCCGGAATCCAATCGTTTCAGGGATACTGCAACAAAGCACAATTAAGGGTTCTTACTCCTAGGCCTAGTATACCCGACATACAACCCTAGTTATAACCCCCAAGTAGAGCTAGGGATTACACGTGGAGGGGTTGCTCTGAGTTGCTCTAGCCACTTCATCAGCTTGCACTCATGGATCCCGGAATGCTTGCCCTGTGCAGCATATCACAGAGGGGCGTTCGATGCCAGAGGTCTGCAGGAGGGTCCTGAACATCAGGGTGGATTTCCAATCGAACATTGATCAGTGGTTCAGAGGCATGCGAAAACCAAGATGACCCATGGCCAGGCAGAAGGAACCCCCTAGGCACAATTGCAGCCCCAGCTTACTAAAAGTCCTCCCATCCATTGTTCAGGATGGCGAAGAGCATTGAGTGGGCGTCGCCGGTGTTCAGCTGGCTCTCCTGGGCATTAGGACTTGGGGGCCTCGGATATTTAGGGTTTAAATGGTGGCTGAATTGTCTCGGTTTAGGGATGGCAGGGTTCAGGGTTTAGGGCTTATAGGGCTTAGTAGTGTCCCCTGTAAAAATCGAAGTATCTTGGCTCGGCTCAGATCACTTAAGGGATATCAACTACAGAGATCGCAGGGTTTAGGGTTTAGGGTTTTAGGGTTTTAGGGTTTAGGGTTTGAGGGTTTAGGGTTTAGGGTTTTAGGTTTTGGGGTTTAGGGATTAGGGTTTAGGGTATAGGGTATACGGTTTAGTTAGGGTCCTTCACTAGACCCTCAACTCACAAGCTTATCAATAATGGTGCATAGCAGAGGCGTGGTCCCGATGGCCACTTGTGGCTTCACAGATAGGCCACCGTAGGAGCCCATGCACCTTGGAGCATGTTGGCATGATTGTTGAATAATGACCGATAAATAGTAGTTGCTAGTCGTAATAGAGCAATCGCAGCAACAGCAGCAACAGTACAAGTATGTGTTAGTAGTAGTAGTAGCAGTAGCAG